GCAGGCCAGGTAGCATCAGAGGAGCAGGAAAGCTGACGTTTTGGGTCCGGACGCTTCTTCAGAAATGGGGGAGGGGAAGGGGACTCAAATAAATAGAGAAGGGGAGGCAATGATGGAAAGTGGATAGAGGAGCAGATAGGTGGAGAGAAGACAGACAGGTCAAGGAGGCAGGGATGAAGCCAGTACGGGTGAGTGTAGGTAGGGATTTGGGATGGGAGTTGGTCAGTTGGGAGGGAGGGGTGGGTAGGTGGAAGGGAAGACAGACACGGCAAGGAGGTGGGGATGAGGCTAGTAAATAGGAAGTGGGGGTGGGGGTAACAGATAGGTGGGAGAAAAGGGTGAGGTCAGGAGTGGGGAGATTTTGAAGCTTGTGAAGTCTGCATTGAGACCATTGGGCTGCAGGGTTCCCAAGCGAAATATGAGGTGGTGTTCCTCCGCCTTTGGGTGGCATCGTTGTGGCACTGGAGGAGGCCTAGGATGGACATGTCGTCCAAGGAGTGGGAGGGGGAGTTGAAGTGGTTCACGACTGGGAGATGCAGTCGTTAGTCACGAACCAAGCTTAGGTGTTCCACAAAGCGGTCTCCAAGCCTCCACTTAGTTTCCCCGATGTAGAAGAGGCCACATTGGGAACAGCAGATACAATATACCACATTGGCAGACATGCAGGTGAACGTCTGTTTGATGTGGAAAGTTCTCTTGGGGCGTGGGATGGGGGTGAGGTGTAGGGGCAGGTGTAGCACTTCCTGCGGTTGCAGGGACAAGTTCCGGAGGTGGTGGGGCTAGTGGGGAGTGTGGAGTGGACGAAGAAGTCACGGAGAGAGCGGTCCCTCCAGAAGGCAGATAAGGGTGGGGAGGGAAAATTGTCCTTGGTAATGGGGTCAGATTGCAGGTGGCAGAAAATGATGCATTGAATCTGGAGGTTAATGGAGTGATACGTGAGGATGAGGAGAATACTGTTTTGTTGTTATTGCAGGGAGGGGGTGTGAGGGATGAGTTGCAGGATACGCAAGAGATGCGGTCAAGGGCGTTTTCGACCACTGTGGAAGAGAAATTGCAGTCCTTGAAAAACGAGGGCATCCAGGATGTCCGGGAGTGGAATGCCTCATCATGGGAGCAGATGCGGCGGAGGCGAAGGAATTGGGAATAGGGGGTGGCATTCTTGCAGGAAGGTGGGTGAGAGGAGGTGTATTCTGGTTAGCTGTGGTAGTCAGTAGGCTTGAAATAGATATCAGTTTCCAGGTGGTTGCCAGAGATTGAAACAGAGAGGTCCAGGAAGGAGAGAGAGGTATCAGAGATGGTCCAGGTGAATTTAAGGTTGGGGTGGAAGGTGTTAGTCAGCCTCCTTGACCTGTCTGTCTTCCCTCCCACCTACCCACCCCTCCCTCCCAACTAACCAACTCCCAACCTACACTCACCTGTAGGGCTCCATCCCTGACTCCTTGACCTGTCCGTCTTCTCTCCACCTGTCTGCTCTTTTATCCACCTGCCATCATCGCCTCCCACTCTATTTATTTCAGAGCCCTCTTCCCCTCCCCCATTTCTGAAGAAGGGTCCAGACCTGAAACATCAGTTTCCTGCTCCTCTGATGCTGACTGGCCTGCTGTGTTCATCCAGCTCTACACCTTGTTATCTCAGACTCCAGCATCGACAGTTCCTACTATCTCTGAGGGAGTTCCTGGGTGGAGCATTTCAACAAAATAAAATCTAGAAGTCAATGGAAACTTGGCAAAATGAAATCACAATGTTTGTACCTGGCTCCCACAATGCACCAGGTCTTTTAGAGACAAGCTCTGTACATTTAAATAACATTTTTTTCTAATCTTGCTGCAAAAGAGGGCAGCCTCACATTTTTCCACATTAAATTGCCAGATTTTTGTCTACTTGCTTAACCTCTGCATTGTTTTACAGACACACTGTGTCACCAGCAAATCTGATAAAGTCAGTCCCTTCATCCAAGACTGTAAGTAATTGATGTCTTGGACCTCATTGTAGTTTGCCAACCTGAAAATAACCTATTCATTCCCACCTGTTTCCTGTTAGTCAATACAATATCCACATGTTTGCAGAGTAAACAAGGTTCCACCAAACCATAATTGTACTGCATATGACTCATTTACCAAACAAGGATCCAGGTGAAATATTGTTTGACAAGTTTTCTCTACATAGCTTCCTCATTGCATAGCTCTCAAAATACTTTTTAAAAAAAAGCATTGCCAGTATATTAATATTGGGAGTTGGGGTGTCTGCTCAAAATTTCAGAGCACTTTGCCTTGTGATCTGCAGTTGGATCTGAACCAGATGTTGAGTTAGGTTTTGAATTTATAACACTTGGTATGAGCATACTGTATAGATTTTCAAATGAAGAAGCCCTTTTTACTCCCCATCTAATGTCCGCATGAGAAATTGGGTCGGATGACCAAAAGTTTGGACAAAGAAGTAGGTTTTAAGGACTATGTTAAAGGAACAAAATAAGCTCGTGAATTCCAGAACTTAGGGCCTATATAGCAAAAGGCTTAGCCACTAGTTGCAGAGCAATGAAATTCATAAATACTCAGCTGTCAAGAACTAAATTAACACATAAAATGCAAAAAATAATGGAATATCTTGAACATACTTGCTGGGATACAAAGAAAGAGTTAAGATATGCTATTAGCTGGCGACTGCTCTTCAACAAAACTGATGCAGACTCAATGGGATGAATGGCCTGATTCTGCACTGTTCTAAGATCATCTGGTGCCACATTTTGTCTCAGTTTAAATGTCTTGATCACCAAATAATTTCTTAAATGCCCAAATAATTTCTTTAGTGCCACTGTTCAAACGAGAAGCTTTCCTCCTGAAGGTACCATGAATATGATGCTCTCAAGTTGCAACCGAAGAATAATGGAATATTTTTAGAACACTAGTAGCAAGCTGTTTAAACAGAAACTGGTATGACAAATTTTATGGAGTGAAAAAAAAACAGAAAACGCTGCTAATACTCAAATCAGGCAGGATCTGTAGAGCGCAAAAATAGTTGACATTTCAGGTTGATGATCTGAGCTGACTTGCTGAATACTTCTAGCATTTTTGTTTTAATTTCAGGTTTCCAGTAATCTATAGTATTTTACTCATCCCTATGGAGTCAAAGCAGGCCCCAGACTTCGCCCTATGATGTCATACAACACATATCAAAGATTTTGCTAAATATTGTAATCATTTGAAATTTGGCATGTTTACATTTGCACTGGCATGTGCAAAATGGAAAGCTTTGACATCTTTTCATTTCAGCAATTTGTTTCAACAAGTCAGTAGTGTCAAGTGACTTTGTATTAAAATACCATACATATATTAGGTTTAGAAATAGGATTCACCTTCAGTTTTGCTTTCATCTTAAACTTTACCTGCATCTAGATTGGGCATTGCCATTTTGGTGGTGATGGGTTTGAAGAAAGCACTTTGAACAGGTTCACACATGCAAGCTCATTTCACTTTGTGTTTCAATATGTTAGTTATGCTGAAACATTTATAAAAAACTTATACTTTTGTTTTAAGAGTTTGGATTTTAAACTCGTGGTATATGAATGTTAGTCTCCATGTGATGAAGGGGTCAGTCTTTCCAGAACCATGATTTTAAACCAGTATGTGCCTCTTGGGGTGTTAATGAAGTTTGTTTACACTGCAGGGATTTACTAATGGAGATGGAAAACATTAAGCCATTTACCTTAGCAGAATCTAGGATGAGCAAGTTAAATTTTGATTTAATTCAAAGGCCTTTAGGCAATTCAAAGAGAACTGATTTGGGTCTGAATCAAGTAGTCTAAGAAAAAGAAGATTGTTCAGAGCAGTTGTAGAGTCATAGAGTTAAAGAAATAAGTTACCTCAGTGAGAGTGTAATATGTGAAATTTCCAGGTCAGGACTGTTTAGTTAGGAATCTACAAGTTGAGACTGAGAATATCCAGACTCTCAGTTGTGAGTGGTAAAGGAAAAGGCCTCAAAGCTCTCAGAATGGAAGTGAGAAGAAGCAGTTAAGTCAAACCTACAGACGTGATACGGATGGAATTTCTCTGGATTTTTGAGCAACTTTAATATGATGGTTTTGGGGATGGGATTTTGTTTTGTTGCGTTTTGAAATGTTTCAAAACGTTTTATGTAGAAGCTTAGTTCTATTTTAGTTTTTTCTTTTGTGTAATAAACTTATGTTTTATTATTAAAACCAAATCCACAGCCTTGTGTGCTCATATTTCATTGAAAGACTGACACATTTTTAAAAATTTATAATCTTTGTGGCCACATTTCATTACGGTACCTGACTTGTCCAGTAGTAACACTGGCTGGGATCATAACACAGTTCCTTTTTATACAAATTGATATTTCGATACTGTGATTAGGATATGAGAGGAAGAACTGTCTAATAGTGCATTTTATTTATAGCAGTTTTACAAAAGGTAATGCAGCGAAAGATTTAAAAGTCTGCGGCAATCTGTTATACTATGAATAAATTACTTCAAGATTTACTAATGAGAACACGGGAATGACGTTCTCCAATTGCTATAAACTGCAGCATGGTTTCAGTTGCCTAGCCTAACAAAGCCAAGTCAGATTTCTTGGGTTGTACATATTTGTTGAGGGTTAACAATTTAAAAAGAAAATTGTGTAATCCAAGCAAATGTTAAGAACACAAATATGGTGATAAATGAACTAATTAAATCTAACTTGTCGGTTATTGTGCACCTGCCGAAATCGCAAGACACTGAATGCTGTTTCAATATCCTGTGAAGCACAATGTCGACACCAGACACAAAATTAAATCAAAAAGTTGAAATATGATGAGAAGTATACATAAATGAAGTCAAGTTGCAATTTAAAACCATCTCTTCAATGCAGATACTCCATCTCTAGTATTCATATCTACTTAGCTTAATCAGTGCAAAGTTCTTCATTGGACTTTTAAAAAAAATAGTATACCACAGTTTTTGAAACAAAATATTTAAAAGAGAAAAAGTAGAACAAAGACTGCATGTTATCCAAAAGATATTTATGTACATTATCCTTGTTACTTAAAAAGGAAATCTTATTTTGAAGCTAGCAAGTGGCATGTTTGTCCAGTTAGGCTTCTCTGCATTAACGTTCCAGGTGATCTGCATTTGGAGCTTCCATTCAAGTTATTTGAGCATTATCTGCGGACAAGCTGGAAGAGCACAAACCTGCTGGGTCTCAATGCAGATTATTGTTAAACTGGGTTGTAACAATTGTGATTTATTTTAAAACTATGAATTGGTGGTATGCTACAGCTAAACTCTAAATTTCACAGAAATTAAGGTGTAACTACAAATGCCAAACCACAAAATCTATATGCTGCTCCTATGCTTAGGTAACAGTGCCCTGAACCATGGGTTATTTCTGAACCACAGGTTATTTCTGAACCACAAGATGACTGCAGTATCAACAAAACACGAATGTTTGATTATAGTTGGTAATTTATGAAGAGAGTTTAAAAATCCAAAAACCATATTTAAAATGTTCCTTTAACAAACTGGTTTCCACAAAGGAGGCCTTTTCGTCACTTAGATGGTTTGGTTCTGTTACATGTAAAAACTGTCCTGAAAGACGACTCCAAAGCACATGGATCACATGGCCTCCAGGTGCCATCCGAATGCAAGTCTCTGCCCACACTCACAGTGAAGTGACTTCATCATGCTATTTTAGGAGTGCTCCTAAAATGAATAGATAATCTCTCATCTGGAGTGATCATATGGCCCTATTGCAAGAGTGGTTCTATGTTGGAGTGATATGAACCCACCTCTGGGCCAAAAGGTCCAGATTCAAGACCAGACTGCCACAGAGGTGTGTCAACATGTTCGAGCAAGCTAAATTATAAAAAGGTAACTCTCACTTGCAGAGTTATCACATGTCCCTTTATCAGGATTGATCCAATTGCTGAAGTGATCACATAACCTCATTTCTGGACCAATCACATGGTGTTTTTTTCAGGAGTGACCCAATTGTTGGAGTGATTACATGATTCCTTATACTTATGGAACAACCATACAGCTGTATTTCAGGAGCAAGCAAATTGTCAGTGACCACATTACCACACTCGTAACTTCTGGAGTGACCACATAGTTGCCCAGTCTCCACAACATTCCTGACTTCAGGTCTCCATTACTGGAGTAACTTCTCAGATGTAAACATGTCATCCACAGAATGTCACAAGATGTATCACATATATTAAAATGCTCTTTTACAAGCTAAAGACAGTCTTGTTATATGCAATGGAACTGTGACTGACAATAAAATCCTTTTGTACCCTGACTGACATTTTCCACAAGAAGAATGAGACTTCTACTTGTTTATAGATGGGTTTCCAAGAGCAGGAATATCCTCAGAGCAATGGAGGTTTCCAATTACTGTCGCGATCTTGGATTAAATTAGCAAGTCTTAGTTGTTTGTACTTTACTAAAGTTTCTGTTGTTGTCTCCTGTACTGAGTATAAAAAGTTGAAAATTTTACTGTTTGCTGTTCTAATTTCCAGTGGCCTTTTAATAATGTAAACAATGTGAAAACTGCAGCATCTGCTGCATCAAGCAAATCATTTGTAATATTATAGAGCAAATCTGAACTGGAATATGAAGAACTGTGGTTCTCAGGCGACTTTGCTCAGGAATTCTCTGTTGAGAGCAGGTTTTATCATTTTACTTTGGTAGTTTTCAGGAAGTGCCGTCAGGAACATTTTTGCCCATAATTGTAACTGCATCTCAAAGATATCTCCAGCAATGGCCCCACAGATGTTCAAAGAAATTTAAACAAAGCAGTATTATCTTATCAGTCATGAGAAACTGACCTTTAAACTCTTCCACTCAGACTTCTTTGGACTTTTGACTGCTCCAGCTAAAAACACATTTCAGTCCTAGTATGGGTGCACTAATATTTACATGTAACAAAATCTCCACTTGCATAACTTAGTTTAAAAAAAACAAAGAAGACACTGTAGGTGAAGGCAATTCAAAACATAAGCACTAAGAATTCATTGTTACAGGGATTTCTAGCTGTTCAGAACAGAAGCGTTTCCTGACCCTGGACCTGCTCCATTTTCTGCACCATTTCTTTCCAATCAGCTCAGTGCCTGGGTTTCACATATTCAAAATATAAAAACAAATTCCATCTGTCACTAGCAGAATGCAGGTATAGCTTCCCCAGGAACTGCAAGATATCTGGACTCAAAGCCTGGCCACAGCAGCACGTTTTATTGGAACCATGGGCACTGCAAATAAAACCACACAGTTATAAGGTGTTCCAGATAAATAGAAAATCATACTGCACAGGAGACCATTTAGAGTCATAAAAGGCTCACTGTGCCTGCACTAGCCAACTTATTTTCAAAATAGAAACTACAAAATGTTCATGGACTGAAGTGTAATGAAAAGGGGTGAATTTCCAAGTGTTATGGAAGTCTGCAATGGCAATATTTAGGGAGATGGATCATGGAACTAAACCCCATTCCCCATGCACGTTATTTGAGGTTGCACTGTAACTTGATTTTGAGCCCAAGTATTAAATGGGTCTGTACACCTGTAATTTCTAACCTGATCCTACATGAATTGGGCATAAGTTAAAGCTGCACTAAATATTACAACAGGACAATATGAACACTGCATAAATTGCTTCTGCTCCAGAAATCTGAAAAAGGACAAAACAGCCTCTAGTCCAATCAACATTCCATCAATTGCAGAGAAGTTCTATTTCATGTGCTTCAGCTTTGCAAAGATGGGCATAGTTTTAACCAGACCTTGGAAAAGATATATTGGCTTATGATGGAGAGCAACACAGATTTTGCAAAATTTTACCTGGGCTCCAACATAAGGTACAAGGAAATACTATATACATTTCTTCCCTTGGAATTTAGATTGCTAAAGGATGATTTGATCAAAGATTTCAAGAAACAAAGGAGAAATGCTAAGGTAGAGAGAAACTAAGGAGGCTAAGTCTAAGTGACAATCTACAAACTAGACCTATCAAAAAAGAAACTAGAAAGCACTTCTACCCTCAAAGATTGGAGAAGCTTGGAATTCTTTACTGTGAATTAACTGATGCTAGATTAATTCTTAATTGAACTGAAAGGTGGAGTTTAGTTATCTGAGGATTTTAGGGAATTTGAGATTAAAGTGGATACATGGAGTTGGATCACACAGATCAAATGTGATCTCACCGAATGGATGAAATGATTTGAGAGGCTAAATAGCCTACGCTTGCTCCCATGTATGTATTGCTACAAGTACACCTGGAACATACAAAATTCTCAATTTAAACATTACTGTTATACAGATTGGGATTGAAAGCACAAAGTCCTTCGGTATGGAAAGAAAGAAATAGACATCCTTACCCAACATGTCTGCTACCCTCATGACAGTCTGCTTGTTCACCTTATAGACATTTCCATTAGCTCTATAAAAGATCAAATCAATAATATCAAATCAGATCCTCGCAATGGACACAGAAGTGACCGAGCTACTTTTGTAAAGTACATTTTGTCTGAAAAGTCGGAGAACGCGCCAAGAGTTTTTCTGATACATACATCTTCAGTTTCTCCACAGCACCAAGCCGGGCTAAAGCAGCCAATGCATTTTTCTGCATATCCAGTGAGAGGACCTCGTTATATTTTATGGCACCTATGTTTAGAATGGAGGATGAGAGTCAGAGAATGATGGAATTCTGCAATGATGTGCTTATTATCACTGTGATGATATGATTCATTTCTTTAACCTGAACAAGAATTTTTGTTGCCTTTGGACTTTTGCTGTAATAATTCACAAGCTCGCATCAAAGTTCAATCAACAGTGAAATATATCCTTGCGCAGTTTGTAGTTATGAGAGACAACAGACTATAAGGATGCCATTCTAAGTCATGTATGGCAGCTGGAGACTACTGCAATTTCTCATCACCTCTGGGAATCTGTGAAACAGGCTCAAAGACTCAACACAGTGCAAAATGAGATGTACTTTAGGCATTAGGGCAATGAGTCCCTGAGTGTGCTTGACAAGAACACTGCAGCGAAAGTTAACACAATTCTCATTGCCCAACAATATTGTTTGCCAACCCCAGCACAGTAAAATTTAGATTAAAACAGGAATTTGTAAATCATAGCTACAAAAAAAAACTCAGGCTCTCTGTTTCAGTTAGAGGGGAAATAGTAACAATTCAGGACCAGCTTCTGGGGAAATTATTGTAGAAATGAATACATTTTGAGATGAAATACCTGTTAAAATGAGTTCTGCAGCATAGCTTCGTATTTCAGTGACAAACCTCTTCTCAGTAAAATTGTCAGTGAATTCTGTGCTCAGCAGATATTTGCAAATAACCTACAAATACAAATATTTGTTTTCATGACAGACACTGGGAGTATTTTTTAATTTTAAGTTTTTTACAGAGCTTATGTCATGAAAACTAAACTTTGTACAAATGATCTAATGCGAAAAATTGGATTCCACGTTCTAAAAGAAGTATTTTAAGTTGTAAATCAAACTTCAAAATATAGCAAAAAGAATAAATGCTAAAATTAAAAATACCATTCCATAACTTAATACTTGTAAAATATGTTATTTACAACCCTACATATTAATCACGATATCAGTAAGTGTATGTTCCTTCACCATTACAGACCCATTTTAAATGCTCAGGTGGTCAACAGGATATCCAAGTCGTAGGTGAGTATGACCTAAACTTCCATCAGTACAAGAAAGCAGCACACATCACCACCATCAGGATAATGAGGGATAGGTAATAAGCCGTGTCAGAACCAACTAATTCTTTAAATAAACTAAGATAGACCAAGTTTTGCTGTTGATGTCAACCTTGGCGAACAGAAGCCTAAAAGGAGATTTATTAGAAGTATTCAAAATCAAGAATGGTCAAAAGAGAGTGGATAGAGCAAAACTGTTCTCATTGATGGAAGGAGCAAGAACAAAAGACTACAGATTTAAGGTAATTCGGGAAAGAGCAATAGTGACATGAGGAGAAACATTTTCACACAGTGAGTGGTCAAAATCTGGAATGCTGATCTCTACTCAAGTGTGTAGTCAAAGTATATTCATAGAATCCCTACAGTGTGGAAGCAGGCTATTCGGCCCATCGAGTCCACACCGATCCTCTGAATACCATCCCACACCTACCCTATCCCTGTAACCCATGAACTCAATTGTGCGACTTAAGACAGAAGAGGGAAGTGGGTTGTTTTCTGAAAAAGCAGAACGTACATGGTCATGGAGAAATGAGGAGTTAGGCGTGCATTAAATGAGCTTTTCCTCTGGAGAATTTGCATAGATGTGACGGGCCAAATGGCCTCCTTCTGCGCTTTAACTGTTCTGTGATTCTGTAACCTGGCCCAGGTTCAGACTAATACAGAACTCTGTTACAGAAATAAAAATAAAAGAGCAAAGGCAGGCTCGTATCAAAAATCTGACTGAGTTTGTTTTGAAAGTGCATAATTAATCAGACAAGTAATTTCTCAGTGCCAATTATTAAGTTCTATTTGGGGCAGTGAGTGCTGTGAGCTGAAGGAACAGGACGAATAATGTTTAACTGCTAAAGAAATAAACTGCATACAGTGTGAAAGATGGGATAAAATTCAAGGTGAGGAAATACAAACAAATAGATCAAAGATCAATTATCATGTGACTGAGGCCAATTGTGAAAATAAACATTTGATGTGCAGAATACAAAGACTGAGCAACTCCACAAGCCTGTCTATACAATAAAAATAATTACTATGAAAGCAGATTTTTGGAGAAACAAACGCACTGAAATGGAGAAGGGTAGACAAAACATTTAATCTTTGTTGGAGGTCTTGCAGTGAAAAATAGTTAACAATGACTGAAGACACCTCAAATTATTAAACTTCCTGTAAGTTCTCTGCATAACACCAGTTCAAGAAAGCATCTCACCACTAACTTTTCAAGGGCCCATCACCCATTAGGGATGGGTAATAAATGCTGGCACAACCAGCGATGTCCACATTCTTGAATCAAAAAATCTATATAGAGCGGAAAACAGATAAAATGACTTGCAAACTTCAGCACTTCCAGATTTTGTAAAGATGCACACACTGAAAAACTGATCCTTTAGCATTCAAGACATTAACTCTGCTTCTCTCTCTCTCCAGAAACTGCCAGATTGCACTTTCTGGTTTTGTTTCAAACCTCCAGCACTGAAATATTTTCCTTCTCTTAGCTTAAAATTCAATTAATTTATATAGACGTGTCATTTGTCAGATCATAAAGCTTGAAGCTTACGGCCACCATTTCTTTTATTGATATAATTTCAGGTAAACTGTTACTATAAATATGCAAGAACAATGTCATGAGGGAATACAGTAATCATACTGACATATCTATTTGACTATTAAGGTCATAAAAACTGTTAGATTTCAGGGTTCATGACATCTTAATTCCAGATTATTGATTGGAACCTGTTTAAATACAAACTGGATGAAGACTAATCTATCTTTTCATGAACGTTTTGATAATTCCTTGTTGTCCTGGTCATTAATTTACACCACATATTCTCCATTTACTTATATTTTCAATCTCTTTTTAAATAACACCTAACATGCAGGACATGACTAACTATAAACCCTGTTAATGCACATTATGTTTGGAAAAGCCCAGTTTATAAATGACGAACTCACGTGAATTTACGTGATTGCGACGTCGTATCAACTTCGACTCGTACAGCTGACAAAATCGTGACTCAGTCAGTATCCTGATTAATTTTTATTCATCAGTTAACATCACTTAGTCAGATTATCTGCTCACTGTTACATTTTTATTTCTCTACATTATTGTTTGTGTCAGCTTGCTTGGTGCAAACTGGCTGCCACATTTCTCAAATAACAATAGTGAATGCATATCAAAAGCTTCCGACTGCGTAACTCAGCACTTTGGGGTGTCCTCGGGTTGTGAAAGATGCTGTAGAAATTCAAGCCTTTCTTTCCTTATGTTCAAGCATTCACTTTAAACATCGTGAGCTAGAAAAGCTTTCCTGGTTACTCTCACACTGCAATTCTTTGAGTGAAAAAGCTCTGCCTGACTTGTTTTTCTTAATTCTAATCTCTGAATTTTAGAACAAGGATGCTACAAGTTGTAACTGAAGATTAAAGTATTTACATAATTATTACATAATAACCAATAACTGTTCAAAGGATAAAGAGAAATTAGTGGAACCTGACCAGATTTAGAACGTAACTGCTTTCTAACAGGATATTTAAATGTAAACACAGAAATGGAAAGGAATTCTAAAACAATCAAATTATTAGCAGCATTTAGTTCACCAACTGAAAGAAAACTGTAAAAGTATGAAGCACAAAAAAACAAAAGCTGATTAAATATTTCAGCAGAAAATTCACTAACCTACCTGATAACCTTCCAGAAAAGGTCTGAACATGTCTGACAAAAAGGAAATGGTGGCACTGCCTTTTTCAGAAATGTAGAGGTCTGTGTGGGAGCCCTGAATGGCACCACTCTTCATAACTAAGTACAGCCCTTCATCAAAGTCCTGCAGTGAAAGAAAACAGTCACAATACTAAAAATAATATGTAAAACATGATACAGAATCTAGATCACAACTGATCATAACAAGAGGACAGGCTATTTGTGTGACACAGTTTCCACAGTTACTCATTTAGCATTCCGAGTTTTGCAGGTTTTAAAAATACTTTGTAATATTTTCAAGCTCCTTTGAAAGAGCATTTATTGCGCTCCATAATTCAACAAACGATGCATTTTCACCGCACGGCCTTAATAGTTATTGTAAGTGACTTTATGACGTGCATTGCAACTTTAATAACAACACAGTTCACCACTCCACTGGAGCACATTATGAAAATTGAAACCATCTATTTCTGACCTCCCTCTTGGTGCGAGAATGTGGGAAATGTGTTAGGAAGCAAAGTGCCTGACACCAGGTTATTCTTAGCATATACTTATGTATCTCACATTGCATTTCACATTACCTTGACAAGATCTCCTGGCAAAAAAATAAACTCGTCAGACAATACTTGATGCAAGTAGCTGAAGCAGCTGTAGACATCCTCTAGAAAAAAGAAAACAGTATTACTTAAAACCTTCAACAACAAAAACAGAAACTGCTAGGGAAACTTAGCGCATTTGGCAGCATCTGTGGGAAGAAAGCAGAATTAACATTGAGTCCAGTGACTCTTAATCAGAATATTTGAAACCTTTATTTGCATTCAGGAATCTGAAGCTAGACAAGATCTACTTTCTCTTAATTGTACGCAGGAAGGAATTTTAAATGGGTTAATTATTTTAAATACATCATATACCGTAGACACTTTTGTACTACATCTTCGGAGTCCCTGGCCGACGTGTCTTGTTGAAATACATATCAGATAGCACTGTAGGGCTGCAGGAGGTTGGGGGTACAGAAGAGGAGCAGCGAATAGGCCAATGGTCTCTTTTCACCATAACATTTCTAAGAGAAAGTACCCATAAATGCACCTACTTATTTCCTGCAATTCTTACATAATGCTCTTTGTTAACAATGGCATTTGTTTAATTCTTTCATGGCATGTGGATATTGTGAGCAAGGCCAGCAATTGTTAGTCATTCCTCACTGCCCTTGGTTTACTAGGCCATTTCAGCAGGCAACTAAGAGTCAATTACAATGATGTGGGTCTGGAGCTACATGCAAGTCTGACAGGGTAAGCGTGACAGATTTCCTTCCTTAAAGGAAATCTATGAACTAGATAGGTCTGTTTTTACAACAATCAATGATAATTAGTCATCATCACTGAGACTAGCTTTACATATATTAATTGAGTTTAACTTCCACCAGCTGCTATGGTGGGATTTGCCCTATGTCCCCAGAGCATTAGCCTGAATCTCTGAATTTTCAGATCTGGAGACATAAACATTACACCATTGTCTCCCCACTTAAACTTTTAATAGATGACTGGGGCTACAGATTCTGCCAAATAGAAAATGTTACTACTCTTAGCAAGGAACTCAAATGCATTAATCGTTTCCCATCAATACTCGTTGGCAAATGACCAGGTGAATATCAGCTGCTTTAAATTACAGAATCAACAAATTTTTGTGCATTCAAAATAACTGAATCATAACTCAAAAGAAACATGTAATTTCATGTTTCTCAAGTAAAATTGCTCTCAAGAAACATCTTTGAGTTTAAGTTTAAGGGTCTCTTTACAATTCAGAGACCAAACCCTGGGCCAGGAGCTCAGTGCAACTTGTAGTGGTATTGTGCCTGTAACACAGTAAAATATTTCTTCATAGGAGTGTTATCACACAAAATTTGACAACAAATCACATAAATAGATAAGACTAATGATCAGTAGGTAAGATTTTATTTAACTTATTTCTTCTTGAGATATGGTGTCCCTGGTAAGGTCACAATGTACTGCCTATCCCTAATTGCTGTTGAATAGATAGTGGTGAGCTCTTAAAGGAGTAAGGCAAGGTACAGAAGTAGAGGCATTTATAAAGGGAATTGCAGGGTAAAAAAGAAATAAGAGGAAGGCTTCAATTAGCAGCTGACCTAATGCAGAGCGAAGTTTAATTATGCTATGAAGATGAAAACAGCAGCCATGGAAAATGCATAAAGGGGCTTGACAGTACTTCATGGCACATATCTCAATGTAGAATCTAGAGAATAGAGCAGAAGATTAGGAAGTATAGTAACACCACTATTGTTGAAACATCGATTAAAGACAGACAGGAACGGTAGGTCCACTTGTCTGACTGTATGGATTTATTTTTCAAAAAAAAGGAGCTTCAATATTGGTTAACGAAATAATCACAGCTATGAGGGGGAGATGATATGCTAGAAGGATATCAAATTAGGCCAATTAGTTGAGATGAAAAACAAAAATGGGGGAAATTACCCTGCTGGGCATGTACTTTAATGGAACAATAAGAAATAGGAGCAGTAGGTTATTTGGTACATGAATCTGCTCTGCCATTCAACTAGATCATGGCTGATCCTCTATCTCAAAGTAATTTTCCCATATCCCTTAATAACTTTAAAAGCTAGAAATCTATGGATTGCAGTGTCAAACAAACTCAATGAGGAAGCTTTCACAGCCCTCTGAAGAATTCTAGTTTCACGATTCTCTGAGCAACAAAAAATCCTCAACTCAGTCCTAAAAGGCCTACTTCTTATTCTGAGACTGTGTTCCCTGATTTTAGAAACCTCAGCTGGAGGACATATCTTCCTGTATTTACGCTGGCAAGTACTATAAGAATTTTATATGCTTCAATGAGATCATCTATCATTCTTCGAACTGTAGGAAATACCAGACTAGACTCCTCAAATCTTTCCTTTTTAGACCGCACCACCATCCCAGGAATCAATCTGGTGAATGTGTGTTACATTCTCTCTACGAACAGTATGTCAGCCCTCATGTATGAAATAAGAAAACGACTACAGTTACTGGAAATCTGAAACAAGTGCAAAAATGCTGGAGAAACTCAGCAGGTCTGACGGCATCTGTGGAGACAGAAACACAGTTACTCTCTCCACAAATGCTGACAGATTTGCTGAGTTTCTCCAACGTTCTCTGCACACAATGCTCCAGTTTCAATCTCACCAAGGCTCAAAACAATTGCAGCAAGACTTTTCTTACACCTGAAATTAAATCCAGTTGTAATAAAGAGCAAATGCCATCTTCCAATCTAATTGCTTGTGACATATGCATGTAGCTTTCAAAGGCTTACGAACAAGGACACTCATGTATCTTTGCACAATAATATTTCCCAACCCCTCTGAAGTACCCTGCATTTCTGTTTTATCTACCAAAATGGATAACTTCATAGTTTTCCACATCATATTTTATTTGCCATGTTCTTGCCCACTTACTTAGCATGTTTAAATCTTTGTAAAGCTTCTTTGCATCCTCCCACAACTCTCATTTCCACCTAGTTTTGTGTTATCAGTAAACTTGGAAATATTATATTCTGTCACCACATCTAAATCATTGTTAACACTGTAAATAGCTAGGACCCCTAACATAGGCCCTGGGGTACTCCATTAGTCACAGCCTGACAAACTGAGAATGACTTGTTTTGTTCAATTCTGTGCTTTCTATCTTTTAACCAATTCTCAACCTTTGTCAGTATATTACCCGACAATCTCATCGCCTCTAATTCCTTCCAGGAACTTACTGAAAGCCTTTTGAAAATCCACATATGCCAGGTCCATTGGCTCCCTCTCATCTATTACATACTCAAAAAACTCAAAGGTTTATCAAACATGATTTCCCTTTAAAAATCCATGCTGATCTAATTAATCCTACCATAATTTTCTAATTGGCTAGTTATCCATCCTTCATGATAGCTTCCAACATTTTCTCCATTTCTGATGTCAGGGTAAAAATCTGTAGTTTCCCATTTTCTCTCCTTCTCCTCAAATAGCAGGGGTACACTTGCTACCTTTAAATCTACAGAACAATTCCAGAATTTAGAAATCATCAATGCGTCGATGATCTTGAGTCACATTTTCAACATTCTGGGATGTAGATTATCACATCTAGGGGATTTATCTAGTTTCAATTCTACTAATTCCTCCAAGTCCTTTTCTTCTAACTAATACAACTTTCTTTCAGTCCCGCATTCTTAGTAGTCCCTTGTCTCTAGTACTTCTGGGAGATTTTCTGTGCCCTCCTCCGTGAAGACAAAGTAATTGTTTAGTTTCTCTGTCACTTGTGTATTGTGCATAATAAATTCTCTGCTCTCTGCCCATAATGGGCCCATGTTTGCCTTTCTTAATCTTTTCCTTTTTACATAACAATCAAATCTCTCACATTCCAGCTTTATGTTTCTCACTAGTTCTACATTCTGTTGTCTCTTTCATCAGTTTCTTGGTCTGCCTTTAATAAATTCTAAAATGCTCCCAATCACCGGCTAAATTTTTTTAAACTTAATAAACCTATTCCTCCGATGTAATACAATTCTTAGCATCTTATTTTCTGGAAAGGTGATCCATCCAAGACAAGTATTTTTGCTTCAAAACAATGTACATTTATTGCATATCATGCATTAATTTTTTAAAACGCTATTTCCCGACAACTATCAGACCTTGTATTGTTGTTCTCCCATCTAGCACAGTCACTTGTACCTCACACATTTGTGGTTTTGTTTGCTTAGATTAAAGTCCTTAGTTTCAGAACTAAGTGAACTACACCAGTTTTTAAACTTGATGTAAAATTCTATACACTGGTCACTCTTCCCTCAAGGCTCCTTTACAATAGAATATTAATTAGCAAAACACTAAATCTAAAATGTCCCATTGTCTGGTTGGTCCATCAACCTACTAATCTAGAAAACCCAGTTTACATAGATTCCAGGATTTTGTCTTCCATATAATTATATATACCCAGTCTATATGTAGATTGAAGTTCCCCATTATTACTGTATCATGCTGTTCTGATTTACACCATGCTGCTACTATATCATGCTGTTCTGATTTACACCATGCTACAATTTCCCACCACTGTTTACTGACACATAAACAGCTTTTTCAAATGTGTGCTGCCTTTTGTTGTTTCCTAGCTCCACCCAAACTGAATCTACATCTTGATATTCTGATCAAAGATCCTGTCTCACCAACTTACTGATCTAATTCTTCAGGTATAACTGTACAGGATACAATTAGAGTGTTTGCAGATAACACAAACATTGGTCACGTGGTTAACAGTGAGGAAGGAATAGTTAGACTTTTAAAGATATTAATAGACTGGTCAGGTGTACAGAAAGGTAACAAATGAAATTCCATCTGGAAGTGTGAGGTAATGCACTTTTGGAGGTCAAACAAAACAAGAGAACACCTACCTGATAAATGGCGGAATACTAAAAGGTGTGGAAGACGAGAAGGAATTGGAATATGTCCACTGCTTCCTGAAGGTAGCAGAGCAGGAAGATAAAGTGCTAATGAAATAATACATCCCTTTATTAAATGGGTATAGAACAAAAGCTGGGATCTGTATAAAAGACCAGTTTGGTTTCAGCTAGAGTTCTGTGCACAGATTTGACCAACACATTACAGGAAGAACATGATCA